ATTTCTGGAGCATTGTTTAGCTTGCTCGACATTGGATTCGGCTTGTTCGAGGTAAGTAACTCTTCTAATCTTGGAGTTGAGGGTATGAACCCTGAATATATGTATTTCGTGAATTGTTGGGAGGTGACGCACATGCTAGGTGATGGGCGTGTGGGCGTGCACTATAGAAATTGTAACATAATTATTTATGTGAAATTTTTTAATTAAATAATCTTGGCATTTTCCATGCGGTTTTATGTGTTAAAGAAATTTAGCTGAAAAGCATAATAAAAATCATGTTGAGGCTATGTGCTAGTATTTTTGAGACCCACAAAAGTCATATTACTGTGAATTATTTGTTTTCAATTGAAAATTTATACTCAGTCATATTCAGGTCATTACACATCATATCTCAGTCTCTGCTATTATTTATTGATACATCATATCATCATTTTGGGGCTATTTTTATGGTATTGTGAGCCCATGAGAGAGAGACTAGAGAGATTAATGACTGAGTGAGGCCGAGGGCCTGATTGTGAGGATTATTATGTGGATCGGGGCTGCCCTCCTGCAGCAGGCCTTATAGGCTTTATTATAGCATGTGAGTTGTCTGTGCAGCATGTGAGTTGTCCGTGCAAATCCAACTATTATTATAGCACGTGAGTTGTCTGTGTGGATCCAGGTATGATATTATAGCACGTGAGTTGTCCGTGTTTATAGCGCTTGGGTTGTAGGAGCCCCTCCGGAGTCTGTACATATCCCTAGTGAGCGCAAGTACCTATTGAGTGCGAGTGCCGAGTGATGAGTAACTGGAAGGCATGAGTGATTGTGAGGTATGCCCGAGGGGCTATTTACGAGTGATTGTAAGGTATGCCCAAGGGGCTATTTACGAGTAATTGTGAGATAAGCCCGATGGGCTGTTTATGATTTTATCACTAAGTTGCATAGCATTGGCATGCACACATGACATACATGCATAGAGATGTATTTTCCTCATGCTGTACATCATCATATCATTCATGATTTCTTACACATTTTGACAGATGGGCATAATTATGCATTTGTTTCACACGGGTTATCCGGAAGGAAAATGAAACATCTTATTTATTATTGAAAAGATTTTTGGGAGAAATTTATTGTTTTCAAACTATTCATATTTTTGGCAACTTCGGCAAACGATTTGGGTTTTCAGTGATGAATTTGAAAGGAAGAACTATTATTTTTGAAATCATGATTTGGCTGGGCATTTTATCTCTAAGTTACTTCTGGTATTATTTGCTTTATGTTATTATGAATTATTGTGGGCTAGTGGTTTTGGACCCGATCTTGGTAGAAGCTCGTCACTAATTTTAACCTACGGCTAGGTTTGTTACTTACTCAGTACATGGGGTCGGGTGTACTGATACTACACTTCTACACATTGCGTGCAGATATTGGCTGTTATTGTTGTTGTGCTCGATGGTTGCGGGATTTGAAGATGTACCTGTGTTCCTGTTGTAGCTGCCTCTTGTTCAGGGTAGCCTTAGATTTATAAAAGCTCTGTTTATGTATTATTCAAACAGACTATGTATTTATTTTATTTCCGCTTTGTATACTCTATTATTAGAAGCTCATAATTTTTACTACCAGTTCTTGGGGAGATGTAATGGTTTCATATATTTTCTTTAATAATTGTCTGGTTAAATTACATTGGAAGTGGATAGTGAATAGTTGGCTTACCTAACGGGTTGGGTTAGGTGCCATCACGACTAGTTGGATTTTTGGGTCGTGACATCCTTCTCCTCCTCATTCTACTCCTCCTCCCCCTCTTCCTTCTTCTTCATAATTACGAAATGAGTTTGTTAAATTTATTATTGTTTTGACAAGTTGATGATTGTGGTTTGTTCTTTATGATATTTGGAGGTTATATTTTAAATTTGATCTCATTTGACGTAGATTTAGGTATTAAACCGGATTATTGAAACTCGAAGAATAAGTTTCTGTTTCTAGGTAATTTGCACTTCAAACCTATTTGGTCTTAAGCAGGGGTGGGCGCGGGTCGATTTCGTTCTGTTTTGTAGAAGTTCGGTTCAATTTTTTCGATTTTCGGTTTGCGATTTTGATAACCATAACCGAACCAAAGTATTTTCGATTTTAGGCTTGTCAAATTAGACTTCTTTAAGTAATAAATGAGCCTCAAAATTCAATTCTTACACGTGTTTGAGGCTCAATGCATGTGCCTAGAAAATTACCCTAATGTAATCTGCTATAACATGAAATTTAACTAGAAAATAATAAAATATGTACTAAGAATATATGCTTGTTGTATTTGCTAAGAATCTGTAGTAATGAGTATTTTATTTATTGTTGAATTTACAATTCAATATTTTCTTAGCAATAGCAATTATGATTTGCACATTAACTGAAAGTAACAGAAGAGATTTATGTTATCATCGGAAAACTAACAAATATAATAATTTATTGAATAATGATCATGATGGTTATTAATTTTTGGGTAGCATGACTTTGGGGTTGGATGAGTTTCTGAAAAGTGTGGCATTTTGGGGTTTGGGCTTCAACATTCACTCACAATTAATAAATAATAGGCCCATATTTAACATGTTAGACTTAATAGTTAAGATGAGCCCAAAGGCTACAGGACCCATACTTAAAAAAACTTCGGATTTTCGGTTAACCAAAAAACTGAAATACTAAAACCGAATACCGAAGCGAACACCAAACTTTTTAAAAATATACACTGCAAACCGACCGAAAAATCGAACAAGCCGAACCAAATAAACCAAAATTATCGATTCGATCGATTTTTTCGGTTCGGTCGGTATTATGCCCACCCATACTCTTAAGTGCATGAAAATCATACTTCAAACCTATATGGCCTTAAGTGTATCTTAAGTGTAATTTTTTACTTCATGCCTATTTAACCTTAAGTGCATGAAAATATTTGTTATATTTCAGACCTATTTGGCCTTAAGTGCAATTTTTATACTTTAGACTTAATTGGCCTTAAGTGCATTGCACTTCAAACCTAAAAAAGTTTTCTTTAACTTCAACCCGATAAGTCTGAAGTTGATCCTAAAGTAGTTAGACTTGCACATTTTTGTGCGAAGTAGGTATAACTTTAATGGTGATCCCAAATCTGGGTATAGATACAAATGCCCCCGAGTAGATAGCAAAAAACACAAAAGGGCCCCAAACAGCAGGAGCCATTAGATGTTGATTCAATTAGGGAAACTACCAGCTATATCTATTTATAAGTAGCTTATAAAAAATTGGCCAAATCATAAAATATTACTAATATTAGCCAAATATTACCAATATTAGCCAATTAGCTATTTGTAGCGAAAAAATATCAAATTTTTGCTTTCTTTTGAGTGAGTATTATTAGAATAGATTGGATACATTTTAAGGCGCTTTAATCAGTTTTGAGATGATTTGATGTGGTTTGAATTGAAAATTCAAAGTTAAAGATGAACATGAAAAAAATAATGTGTGTATCACACTGTATATCATTTGTATATCATATATGAATCATATTTGTATCAGATATATATCACATGTATATCCATGTATACATATGTGTGAGATACATGCGTGGTACATGTGTCGCAGAAGAATTTTTTGAACTCGATTTTAACTACGAGTTTTGATACCAAATTAGTTCAAATCACCTCTAATCTTACTCAAATTTTGTATATTGACTCATCTATATGTTTTCAATGAATTTTAACCATACCCATTGAAAAATGTCCTTTTTTGCTTAAATTTTTGAAATCTTGTATATTTATTTTTTTGGTATTTCATCACCTTATTTGCTAGCTCATCAAAACTTTATTTATTTGAATTTTTAATTTTAATATATGTTTAACTATTTTTAGTAAATCTACGATTAATAGCCCGCGAATAACTTGGAACTTAATTAGGAAATTTCTGTCTTCAATTATTAAAGGTAAAAAGATTCGGACCTTGAGCAACCTATATGCCAAACGAACACCCGAATATGCGCCAGGTTCCTCATAGAGATTCGTACATTCGCATAAAATCCCATAATTATTTGACTTTTGTTCTCCTCTGTGATACCACGCTACTTCATCTCTCTCCTTAAATACCCCCCTCTCTCTCTGCCCCCTCAACTTCCTTCTTTATCGCACTGCCACATCCTATTTCACAGGTTCTTTTCTCTTTCCCTATCTTGCTCACTCGAATTTCAAGATCCTTTTTTTTTGGAATTTCAGGATTGACCCCTGTAATTGATAATAATGACTTTATAGATTTTGATTGTTCTCTCTTTAAGTTTCATGTTTCCCTTACCACCTTTATGACCCTAATGTTGAAATTCAGAATATGCATTAGTACTGATTAAGCTTCAATTATTTGGGGAATTGACCAGAAAGTAAATGGGTTTTGCTTTGAATTTGAGGATTCGGTAATATAGTTTTAATTGTCATTCTAGTTATGGGTGAAGAAGGGAGTATACATATGTATAATTAACTGTTTTTTGATATTCTGATTATGGGTCAATTTTTAGCTTTGCAGTTTGTTGACTACTGATGCCAAAGTCACGATTTTTCTAATTCATTCTAAGATATCTGAATTTATAAAAATGCAAGCTTATGAGATTGACTTAAATTAAAGTAAGAAGAAAAATGTAATCTTTCTATTGACATATTAAACCATGAGATAAACAAGGGATATGAATCACCTTGAAAGGTTCATAATAGAGTTTTTTACGGTACATTATTTGGTACACCTTGATACGAAGATGTGGAGGTCAAGAATCAAGGTAGACGGCCAGTAGGTAGTCGAGAGTATTAGTGCTAGTCTTGTATTCTATTATTGTTAGATTTTTTTTAGTATTACTTGTTCCTTTCGCTTCGTTTTCTTTCTTACTATCTTGTTGTTGTTACTGCTTGGTGCTACTGCTTTGCTTTTCGTCTTTCGAGAGCCGAGGTATATCATAAACAACCTCTCTATCTTCATGGTGGGATAAGGTCTGCGTACACACTACCCTTCCCAGACCCTACTTGTGGGATTAAACTGAGTTTGTTGTTGTTATTTGGTCTTTATTATTATCAAGACCTAGCAATAACTTACAACAACAACAACAATCCAGTATAATCCCACTAGTGGGGTATGGGGAGGGTAGTTTTTACGCAGACAAGAGTGGGTTGCTCTAGTGGTGAGCACCCTCCACTTCCAACCGATAGGTTGTGAGTTCGAATCACCCCAAGAGCAAGGTAGGGAGTTCTTGGAGGGAGCGAGCCGAGGGTCTATCGGAAACAGCCTCTCTACTCCAGGGTAGGGGTACGGTTTGCGTACAAACTACCCTCCCCAGACCCCACTAGTGGGATTATACTGGGTTGTTGTTGTTGTTGTTGTAAGTTATTGCTAGGTCTTGATAATTGGTCTTTATTAAAAAAATTGTTTGGGAAGGTTTCTAGATGACATTAGCAAGAAATTAATGACTTGAAGTTGATGTCTTCTTATAGAAAATTTTGATCTTACATCAATTTCTGAATCATTATGTCACTTTACTAGGTTACAAGTTACGACTCTGGTTCACCATTGACATGATAAGATTCTGTTGCTATATATGCAGGTTGTACTGTGTAATGGTTCCTATTGAGACAAAAAAATGGCTAAAAAGCAGTAGCGGGTCTAGTGCATAGTTTATGGGTTCCTCGGAACCCAGTAAGTTTTGTGCAGACCGTGTATTTCTATTAAAAAGTCCACTAACTATCTGTAATTTTTTTTTTCTGTGAACCCAGTTACTACACTTGAAATCGACGTAGGAACCTATAAAGTTTAAATCTTGAATCCGCCTCCGGTAAAAAGTATATTAGTTGAGCTAGTGAAGTGTAATCTAACTCCCAGAGTATTCAAAGATCAAGCTTCTAGAAAATCGGATGCGGTTCAATAATGAAAGTATTCAAGAAATTGTGGCAACTTCTAAAATTTCAATCTCAGATAGTTTCTTTACCTTCTGGTACCTACTCCACAATGCGGAAACAAAAATTCCATGCATCTGAGGATACCTAAAAGATAACCGTTGAGCACGACAGTCATAAACCTAGAAACAATTGAGCTCCTTATTTCTCCCCTCACCAAAATGAAGTTTTGCAAAGAAATTAATAGGTTAGTGAGTAGATCTAAAAATGAAGATGATATAGTGCAAATAAAAAAGGTGGCATACATTTAGGGTGTAAAATGTATAGAACCGTATGATTTTGTAAACAACGCTGTGTAAAGCAATAATTCTCTAGTTTATTCAAATCTTTTGTGGTGAATCCCTGGTGTTCTGTGGAGGATTTTCTTTGCTTAGAAGAATTTCAGACTTTTTAGTATATATTCTTGATCACTCGAAAACATGAGAATTCAACTGATTCCTTTCCTTGTTACAGAAAATCAAAGAAGTGGTTGAATTATTGCACGTTAACTGGTCAATATTGGTAGCAGCGTGTTAATGCTGGCAATCAGTCATATTCATTTGACTGATTGCCAATTAGCAGATGGGTACCGAGAGTTCACTGAAGCCTAATACAGCCTTAGCGGGTGTGCATGGAGTGCAAATGGTGCCTCATTCACCATTTGCATTGGAAGAGATAAAACAACATGGGGACTTGCATCAACCTCGACATGAAAGTTTTCCTGTTGGAACAAGACATCAGCTAATAGTTCAGTAAGTGAAAAATGAGGTTATCTCGCTTGACCTCTAATCATTTGTGCGGAGGTGCTTTTCTATCTTCTAGAAGTAATGTAGATGATTGAATTGTCAACTCAGATCCAAAGTTCGGATTCTTGTTGAATAAGAATTTGATTCGTCATGTTATCTTGTTCACCAGGAGAGTTTGGCAGCAAAGGCCTGGTTGCCTGAGGCCCATCCGTTGCTGTCTCCACGGTAAAGATACAAAGAACAATCTCTTTTATTAAAAGTTAGGTGTATCATACTGCCTCCAGCATATTTCTAATCGATCAGTTGTTTTTCTTTTAGGTGATAGTACCGTCGCTGAAACTATTGCTAATGTGATCACTTCTCTTCCTTTTATTGCACTTGGACTTCAGGCTCCAAGGTCAGAAATTTAGTGGGCGTTTGGACATAAGAATTGTAAAATTCCAAAATAGGGGGAAAATGTTTTTCAAGTGAAAAATGGTATTTGAAATTTAGAGTTGTGTTTGGACATGAATATAATTTTGGGTTGTTTTTGAAGTTTTGTGAGTGATTTAAGTGAAAATTTTGAAAAACAGCCTTTTGGAGTTTTTCAAAATTTCGAAAATTTCCAAAATGCATCTCAAGTGAAAATTGAAAATTTTATGAACAAACGCTGATTTCGAAAAAAAGTGAATTTTTTTTGGAAAAAAGGAAAAAATTTCTTATGTCCAAACGGGCTCTTAATTTTCTAGAGCTGCTTTAAGATGACCACATTTGATTACTCTCGTAATCTTTAATTTCTTTGTTTGTTGCTGCAGGAAGAATCTCCATTGCAAACTTTATGCCAATTCCTTGATTGGAGTTGGAATTGCCTCCACTTTGTACCATTCTTCAAGAGGGAAAGTAAGACGGTATCTGAGATGGGCTGACTACACGATGATAGCAACAGCAACGGTGGTAAGTCTTAAGCAGTTCATTCATTTTTAAATCTTTTCAGGATCTTTATGTTGTCTAAATATTCCAACATGCAATTAAAGTGCTCAAACTCCTAGAAAGACTTCTATTTGGATGCCAATTAGATAGAGCTAAACTGGAATGTTGATGTGCTACCTTGAGAAAATCTTTTATTTTTTTTTATTTTATAAAGGAAGCAGGTTTTTGTGTTTTAAGAAACTTTATTCATTATGAACTTTCTACCGGGTAGTACTTCTCCAAAAAAGATGATGCAATCTTCGACATCTTTAACTCTTAGGTACCAAAAAGAAAATACTAAAACTAAGCATTCCCCGGAATGACCATTCTTATTTTTTGTGTTGTATTCCCTGGAGTAATACATGTTTAAATGTGATTAGTTTTACTAGCAATGTTATATCAGAGTTATGAGTTTGTTTTCTCAATAATTTTATGAAGCTCAAACAAATTCCGTTGTTATGTTTAGTAAGTTCATTAATCACTATATTGCGCAGATTTAAGAAGATTCATCAAGAGAATAACTTTTCCACCTTTTGTTTTGGGTAACATTTTGAAAGGGATAATATATTATGTTCTCTTTTCTATTGTTTTCGGAGACAAAAAATAATAGTAGTAATTAACCACTCTTTAACAATTTTTCCTTCTACAGAAGAAGTAATCCCATTTTTATAAAGCAAGTATTTCCACAACACTCCTTCATATCATATTTGAGATTAGCTTGGCCATTTTCCACTGCAAAAGAAAATATACAGGGGGACCGAGACTTATAACTTAGTAGTATCAGTGGGAGTCTATAACACAATAAGAGTGGTTTCAATTATCATTCCCTCCTCCCCCTTCCCTTTTTTTTTTTTTTTTTTAAAAACTAAAAAGTAAGATGATTTTCTTCCTATCTATCTAAATCTTAGTGGCTAGAATTCCTGGTAGCTCGAACGGTAGTTGTCGATGTGANCCCCCTTCCTTTTTTTTTTTTTTTTTTTAAAAACTAAAAAGTAAGATGATTTTCTTCCTATCTATCTAAATCTTAGTGGCTAGAATTCCTGGTAGCTCGAACGGTAGTTGTCGATGTGAGCACGCGTTGGCCTAAACACCACCGTTATCCTATATATGTTTATAGTTTGAGTCAAAGCCTATAAAACTGCTCTCATTTGTATCAAAGAGCATATCTTACTTGACGATTCGAGCTCTCTTTAAATTTTGTTCTGTATAACCTTTCATGTGTAAGCAAGCTTTCTCTCTCATGTAGGAGTATTAGTTTTCAAGGATTAAAAAAATCCCTCCATATTCAAGTTAGTTTTTGAGTTCGTTATTTTCAGTTATTATTATTCTACAACAATATTTAATCAATATTTTTAAGTTTTTTATAATTAAACTCTTGAGGTTTGATCTGCTGGTGCTTTACAACTAGTGGTGCTCTGAAATTTTATAGCTTCAAAATAAGCCGACTTAAGTGATGAATTTTTTCTGCAGTGTCTATCAAGGGCACTAAGAAATGAGAATCCAAAATTGCTGATGGCTGCATCTGCAGTCCTCCTACCGATCCAACCTCTGATGGTTTCTGCTGTTCACACTGGAATTATGGAGGTAGATATCTGCGGCCGAAATGTGATGCTTGAATGAACCAAATTTCACTACCATTTTATTCTATTGTACATTGAAGTTCCAAATGTGATATTCAGAATGAACTGAACTTCAGTACAATTTTATTCTGTTCTATGTTGAAGATTTATATCTCTTTACTCTCTTCTATTGTACCTTTTTTTTTTGTGTAGGTTGCATTTGCAAAAAGAGCAATCCAAGATCCAGAACTGAGGATGGCTCACAATGTGCATAAAATGTCATCATTGTTAGGCGGTGCTCTTTTCATTGCTGACGATGTCTTTCCTGAAACACCTTTTTTGCATGCTGGTTGGCATCTTGCTGCTGCTGTTGGTGTGAGTACTTGCAATAAGCTTCTTGAGTAGGCTAATGTTGCAATCAAATATCCTGTCAAATTTGTCGAGATCACTTGCCGTTGCTGGCAAAGATTGTCCATTTGTTCAAACAAGTAGTGAAAAGCACACACTGCGATCTTGGATTAGTCTTGTAATTCAATGGTCCGTTCTTGTTTACTGTTCGTTGATAGTGTTTGTCGGGTTAGTTATGTACAACCATAGTACTATGGCAATTAGCGTTGCTTTATATTTATGATGCAATGTAAACATTGTTTGCAAGATATGATATATCTGCAGTCTTGCTATGAACTTCTTTTCTGCTGTTGAAAGTCCAGTATTCTTGAAGTCGATTATGGAACGTTTTTTTTTTTTTCATGTGAATTCTGTTGAAAATTGCAGTTCATCTTATTAGATATGTAAATGGGAGTATCTTGAATTCCTTTGTTCACTATTTGCTGTAGAACTGCTTGTGTTGACAAATTTCTTCGCCACCTGAGAATGGTCATACAAGTAGCTGTAGAATGAAGAAAGAGCTCTATGTAGCAATTTTATTGACTTACCTTGCCTATATTGTTCTGTCATAAATGGACTTGAACTGCCTACAGCAATTTGCCACATACAACATAATTCAAATTAAATCTAGTGTGCGGCAACAACAGTAAGCCAAAGATTATTAGGACTTCTGAGTACAGTGGCAGATTCAACTACGGGTTTATGAGCAGAGGCGTTAGATTCTAAATTTAATATTTGTATATTTTTAACGAATTTTTTAACATATACATTATTTGAGCAAAAACTATTGGCTTCGGCCGAATTCGTAACTGGACTTCTAGCTCTGCACCTGTTTATGAGCCACTCTGCTAAGGTAAGGGCATGTGTTTGGGACCAAATTCAAACTGATGACAAATTTATTTTATTTCCCATAATTGAGGGATTTCCCCTAAATTCAAATATACATTTTAAAAATTATTTTCTCAACTGATATAGCATCCAAATTTTGGATCCACCACTGTTTCTGTACCCTACAATTTCACACTATTTCCTCAAACATGATAATAATACTTACAGCATAGAATAAGTTTGTAAATTTAATGATATATTCTTATCTCCACCAATTATTTGGCTTATGCTAGGAAAAAAGAAACATTCAGTTACTCTACTTTTCCAAAGTATGGGTAACATCTTAGGACCACTTTTTACCTTTCAATCATGTCCTTTTGGCCATGCTTACAACCATATATGACTCGAGGCCGAATTGATTGTCACCATCTCAATGGTGCACATAAATTTGGTATATCTTTTACGTAATTATTAAAGTTGTCACCTTTCCTTTGGTGGAACATGGCCTCTACGGCGGAGTTAGCATAGGACTTACGGGTTCGGCCGAACCTATTAACATTGGTCCAAAACCTGTATTTGTCTTTAAAAATATTATTGAATATGTATAAATTATTAATTTAGAGCCCAGTAACATAAACGAACTAGAATCCTGAACCCACAAGCTTCAAATCTTGTCTTCGCCTCTGATGGCCTCTTTGCATCACTATATGGTTCTTGCCAAAACCTCTTTCAAGAATCTTCAGCAAAGTTTTAGTTTATCATATAATACAAGTTAATGATGAATCTAACTCATGTCTCACCTTAAAAGCAATGAGATTATCACATATTTTCATGTTATGCGGATTCTTAAGTAATTCGTGTCTTAACGTACAATTATTGTATTAAAATTTCTTTTTTTCTTAAATTTAACATACACATTTGCTTTTTAGTATGTGTTTGGATCTGTAATAATGCTAGTAAAGGAGATTTGCGGGTTTCTCCTTTGCGAAAGCGGATCGTTTATAGCAATTCGACTCGAATTACTGGTCGTTGAGAATCTTCACGTAACGGATGACTTTCTGTTTCCACAGCCTCATTATCCCTAATTAATGATGCAAAGAACAAACTATAGCCGTTTTCTCTATAAATAAGTGAATCTCCCAACACCGATAGTGATATTTATATAGACTGCATTTAGTCTTAGGGTTAGACCTAATGGATCGGCCAATAAGCTAGCACTCCATATGGATGTATTAGGCTCAAAATGCTATTTTTTCTAACAGTATCATTTCATAAACCATAAGTTAATTTTTTTCTCTAAAATTGAATCACAAACTGAAATTCTTGATCTTCAAAGATAATTAAAGTCATGTTATTCAAATCTCGACACCTAGTTTTAGATGATCACACATATAGAAGTACTAATTGCCGTAATGCTTTTACAAGTTACGAAATGGCCTAGTATATAAAATTTAAAATCTCTTTTTAATTGAACTGAACTCAATCATTGCAAAATTGTTGGAAAATTCCTTGTTTGCTTTATAGGGTTCTAAAAGGTACAATAAGATACTCATAACTAATTCCAAGAGATAATGAGAAGTCAGCATATATAGTGCGTTTATGGATGACTTCACTGCAATTTCCTTTCCTTTAGGTGATGTATATATGAAGAATCCAATTTTTCCATTAATGGATACTCTGGTCCCTATACTATGTATTTATTTTAAAGAAGATATACCAGAATCCTTTAGTTCGGTCCACCATTATTTTTGGACTTTCTAGAATTAAGGACCTGATCTTTTGTTTTTCGATTTCTTTTTAAGATTAAAAAAGCATGAGATGATTACACATATATATCCATCAATGGATAATATTGCTCAATCTTGGCAAAAGGCAGGGCGGAGGCACTTATCGCAAGTGGTTTTATCCAACACGCTTGATCGGCAAAATACATATATATAAGTAATATGCAAAGAAAATAAATATAGGGTTTGTACTATAGTAATATTATCAAATCAATTTCTCAGTTTAAAATAACTAGAATCTATATGAAAACTCTTTTCTTATGCCTTCCCTTCCTCTCTAAAATTCGAAGTTCTTGGTTACTGCATGATCCTAGTACTTACTATGGTTTTTATGTTCAGAAACAAACTTCTAAGTTATCTACAAGACTAAGGAAATAATAGGGAAAATGGACAAATATATTTCTCGATTGTTCAACCGAACCGAAACCATTAACCAAATCGAACCGATGGCTAATTGGCTTATTGATATCGGATTATCGGGATAATGGATGATACACGGATTGAGATTTTATAATTAACGACTTCACTTTTTTTTTTTTATAACTAACTTTTATATTAATCACCAGTGTAAAACTTTACGTTCGACTAACTCAGTCACTGTCTATAAAAAAAACAACTAAAGATAAAGCCTATACGTCGTAAGCTATAAACTATCTACTAAAACAAAGGCTACACATTATGCTTTGGACTCTTGGTGTTGCTCTGACATGACATATCACTGCAATCTCTCTTGCAGCTGCTTCCCTGTTTCTACTCTTCTTCTCAAAAATTCTCTGGTTTCCCTCCGTCCATATGGCATAAAGACATTCCGCATATGTTATCCCGAAGATTTGAGCTTGTTGTGATCTCCCTTTTGAACTTTTGATAGCCCATTCCAGATGGTTGTTTAACCAAAAATAGATTTTTCTGTCAAAGTCAATATTTTGAAGAAAACGAGTTACTGATAACCAAGATTTACTTCACTTTTTCAATAATCTTAGAAGAAATAAAAGAAATAATAGAGACGATTAACAAAGAAAAATAAGGAATGAACTCACAGTCACTCTCAAAATCAAGGCTGAAAATATGAAGGGTAAAGCAAAGAATTGTAGTATGTATTTCATTAATAATCTTAACTTATCCCTTACAAATGAAATTCTTATCCTTATATAGGAGCATATAATTATAACGGTTTTCATGCTTAATTTGGACTAATTAAGGGCATTAATTGTATTGATTGTTCATTACCATAGATAACCGTAACTGGCATATTTATGACTAAAGATTCCTTATAATTGTTCTGATTCCCCTTCCTTAATTACTTCTGGTTCGTGTATCTTCCTCTATTTGCAGCCTTCATTCATTTCATTCTCGTTTCTCCTTTAAGAGATGTTAGGCCCGGTTCTTTTCTCTTATGCTACCTCGTGGGTCTTTCTCCCATACCTTCATTGCATTCTTAATTCAGTTAATTGAGAGTGTTACTTATCGTTATATCGACGCTCCACGCGTCATGCCTCGTCACCTTACTGATGTTTCACGTGTCATATCTTTTTTCCACCAATAAAATGGTGGCTCCAATGAATAGAATTGTAGCTTTGTCGTTGAAGTCACTGCATAGTCCTTTCCAAGATTTTCTTGGAGTATTCACATCCTTCTATCAGGTGATCTCTTGATTCATCTTGTGCTTGACATAGACAACATTTTACTTCTACATTCATTCCCCATCTTAGGAGTCTATCAGTGGTCAGCAATTTACCTTGTAATCCCGGTCACATAATTATCTTGGCTTTAGGTTTGGCATCATTCCTATACATGAGACATTTCCAAGGCACCCTAGTATAGTTAGGTAGTAGTTGTTTATATATTAAATTGGTGATGCTTTTCTTGGTTGATCCATCATCTTGTACTAGCTTTAGATCCTCTCTAGCTTCCATTATCTTTCGAATGAAATGCTTGTTGAGGAATGCCCACATCGTGGAGTTGTTGTCCTCTTATATAAAATATATGTACCCATCTAATCCACAATTTGTCCTGTTTGCGAGCAAGGTCCCAGCATGTCTTTGTCACAGAAGCCTTATTCCATAACTTGATGTTAATTAAGTTTTGTCCTCCCATGAACTTTGGAGAGCACACTCTTTCCCATGCTACCAGTACTTTCCTTGTGACTGTGTTAGTCCCAGACCATACAAATCTCCTACAGTAAGCCTCTATTAGTGATATAATTTTTGCAGTATTAAGAATAATTGAGCCTAGTATGCTTGAACCCCAAATACAATTGATTGTACCAGGCTACTAGCTGCACCCGCCAGCATAAGGGAGTTTTTTGGCAGTCCAGGAAGTGATTCTGGCAGTAATATTATCAACAAGTGGTTTCCACTGGATAAGGTTCATCTTCTTTGTTGATAGTTGTCACGACCCAAAATCTAACCATGGCGCGATGGCCCCTATCGTGTTACAAGGCAAGCCTACTTCCCAAAATATTAATACTAAACCGATTATAAGAATTTAATAAAATATTTTAACATTTAAATTTTTCATAAACTAAATCAACTCTAAATATAATATAAAAAAATACGAAAACGAGCTCCATACATCGGGGTGTCACTAAGTCATGAGTATCTAAAACTATAAACTAAGATATATAAACTGTCTAACTGTTCAAAAGAAGAAATGACAAAAGGAGTAACAAGGTCCTGCGGACGCTAGCAGCTACCTTGCAATCTCCACAGATAGCCGGCCTGAACTCAACGATTGCCGCGCTCTAA